ACTTTCATTCGATAAATTAAAATCCATTCGACGTCGAAGCTCCGTCAGTTTTGAAGAATTAAGTTTTCGCGAAGAACACGGAAACGTAACGAAATTCAATGTTTTATTTAAGCGAGAGTCTCACTGTGACGCTTAAAAACGTGATATTTAAAGTCAGAGATTAAAAAGTAAAAATAGAAGAAATCGCCTTCGATGAAATTTTCATTAAGGGAAAATTCTCTCGGGTAAACAACTCTAAGAATTTATTTCTCTCCCTTATTTCTTATCCGGGGTTTTTTTTGGCAACATCTTATACACAGGCCACTCCAGATCCGCAATCGCAATTTTAATAATAGATTGCCTCGCGAATTTAGAGTTTTCCTAACGAAACTCTGCAGGGAACTATCATTTGCGAAACTTATTAAAACGCGATATTAAGTATTTTAGCAGTTAAACCGCTAATTTAAAGTTTAGAAAAGAAAAAACTCCCCAAAGTAAAGTAAACAACAGTTCTCTCCCTCTCATTTAATTTCCAAAACGAGTTTAAGAAGTTCTCCATTTCTGGTCGTTTGCCGAGTTCCATTTTTTTGGATTATAACTTAAGTATCGCTGCTCCTTGCTCCGGATTCAAACTAAATACGACCTCAAATTGGCGAATGATTATCATTAAAAATCGACCGGCGATTCTGGGACATTCTGTGGTGGAGCCGATATCGCGCCCGTGTTTCAACTGACAAATGGCGCTGTCAATTTCGGTCGTGCACCCTTTGAACCAGAGAGAAATTCCTCTCGTGAGACAGCAGGGATCCTTTCGGATCGATGAACATTTCGTGAACGTCTAACGGATGACACGACGGCTGTCTACAGCCATGTACACGCGGTACAACGTTCATACGCGCGGGACAAGGAAACGCACGCACCACACGCATAACACACACACATATACAGACACGCAAACACACACGCGTACGCGCGCGTATAGACGGTACACACCGTACGAGCGGACGATCGAACACGCATGTAATACAGCCGTGCGGTTCGTTCGACCAGCGAGATGAGCTCGGACATGCGAATGATTATATTGAATCAGACTGTTATGGTTTCCCGGGAATTAATTAGGAGAGAGAAGTCCTTGAGACGATCCCCCCCCTGCGGAAACTTGTATAATTGAAATGATTAAAAGTAATTCATATTTCTAAAATTTAGGTATTTAGTATAGAATGGAGTTAAAAAAATTATCGTATACTGATTTAACTGCGCGACGACTAGGTAAGATTACGAATAATTGATATTTTGTGTGACATTTTTCGACACGCAAAGCGCATTCCGACTTATTCAATTTAATTTCGCTATTCCTATGGCGCGCTTATCGAGGAAAGATAATTAATTTAACTTATTTAATTAAATTAGAGATTAGGCGATTATGCATAATTGAAATAATTAATTTCAAACGAGCTACTATGCAACTCGCAAATTAGTAAATGAAAGCTAATTGTTGTTAATGAATTCTGCATAATTTTCATTGCCTTGGAAGCGCGATAATTGCCCGAGCGAGATTTCAAAGGCAGAAGTTTACCCTGCATCTTTTATCCGGTATTTAATTATGATATTAATTAATATTTTACATGATATAAACTCTCTTATAGAAACAATTTCAATGATTTATCCAATTTTAAAATAAAATGTTTGGCCACGTAAACATCTACACGCTATTCATTGATTGGCTTCATTAATTAGCGGTTCATTTTATATTTACCGAATGGTATAATTGTATAATTAAATGTGTTAATTGTAAATGTATAATAAGTGAGTGAAAAATATCAAATTGTTATATTTAAAAAAAAAGTCAATATCTGCAGAGGATGAGAAGCTATTTAAATACAGGTTGGTTCCAATTTATGTGTTCATTAATTAATTATACGCGCTAACTGCGTTTTAAACTAACTTTGCAATTAACGGAGTATTTTATGCCACGTTCAATTCAACTTTATCGTAACTGAAATTAACTTCCGCTATTAATCAACCTGTCTACAATGATCGTTTTTATACATCTCATATTTTACTATTAGCGTGTTTCTAATTATCATATATTAAATTAACGGACCAATTTCGCGAGGGATGCAGTAATAATTAAATGATCTTCAAGTAATAACACGAATTTGCCTTTCAGTCGTCATATCGTTTTTCTGCAGCAATAAAGAGCATTATCTTTCTACAATAAATAGTCATCTTTCGTTTTAACATCTACGATAATGGAATTATCGGTGATGTTATGTTGTCAAGAAGAACCTGGCGAATTTTACATGCCTAATTATTGGATACGTTATTAAAGCTATAGACCTTTAATATTGTTACATTATTAACGCGGTAAATACAACACGCCGTGATATTGCTTTGTTATTGTCAGACAAAGTGTTATCAGACTTAGAACATTAGTTTGCAAATTAATCAATTCATCGAATTTCGGGACAGTTGAATCATATTAACAAAATAATAGATCTGGAAAAATGAAATCACGTCTTGAAATGTATTCAATTTCGCCTAACATTAGTGACAAATTAATTTGATTTTTTAACACCGGCAACTTGAAGAATTACAGTGATTTTGTTCAACAGTTAGACAGGCCAGTTAGGTAAATTCAAAATAAGTTACTATTGTTCCAGAGTATAATAGTTGACAAACAGTACGTCACCGAGTAACAGTCTGATCGACTAATCATTGACGAGGCTCGGCTCTGCGCTCGCCAATTCGTGCATTTTAATACATACAGCACATACAATAGGGTTGTAACACTTCTGCCATCGAATTAACAGCGATAACAGTCGCGGATAGCAATTGGCCCGCGCGAGCGAACGGAAATGTAGCTAGAGCAGCAAATATGTGCCTTTTGACTGCGTGAACTTTGCCTAGGGTTATGGTCACTTTCTCGGTAAGAGCTCGCTCTTGTTAATACGCGCATATATAACGCATCTTACGATCGCATACACACGCGCAGTTGTGTGTTAATTAAGCGCACCGAATCTTAAGAAACGGAAGGAAAACAAAAAAAAAGGAACGGGCGACGACAGGAAGCTAAAGACGTGCGGCGCGTTAGGTAAAATCACCCACTGATCACTGCACACTGAACCAACTGATTTCGATCGGTATAATTTCAAGGTCCAGTCCAACTTCCGATATAGTAGAAGTAGCTGTTGAAACGTGCGATCGTAACGTCTCGCTTATTACAACGGTGAGATCGGCCTCGCGTGTCCGTGGCACAGAGGCACACGGTGTTATGGAAAAGCGGATTAATCCATTGTAAGCAGAGTAGTAGTTTTCAGTAAATTAAGTTTGAAATGCGGAGTTTCATGTTGCTGGCCCAGCTGTGTGTACGACTCCTTTTTCTTCCTTTTTATTTCGCGGATTAACCCACTTTTGCGCAACGCCGTTCGGAGATTCCGCGGCCGACGAGATTATACCGATCGTTGCACCGGGCGGTGTCGAGGATAATGAGAAAAAGATACGGTTCATCAGCCGCTGTATATTTTTATGTGTAGAGATCAGTGAGATTCCATTGTCGAAGTATTACCTCTCGTTTTACCCTAGATGTATTAACAAGCTCCAGCGAAGGGGTTTCTTTTTTCCATAACGACGATCGAACTTTTAACTCGTTTACTTGTCTATTTCTCTCTCTCTCTCTCTCTCACTCTCTCTCTTTCTCTATCTCTCTTCTCTGGCCGTGTACGCATACGCTCGCGCGTGAATGAACGCGTATGCGACACATCGCATGACGATCTTTTATTTCAAGATATTTTTTCTCTCATTATATCAATAACGACCTATTTTCAATACACATATGTACAGGGTACCCCGAAACAATCGCTGTTCCTTTTGCCCGCGGGTTCAATTAAGGATTGATTTTTCTCTCGACGAAAATGTCCAGCTGATTGACACTTTTGTGAAATATTCTAATAGTTAAAACTTGTAGCTCTGTTGCTCTATAAACGACAAGTCAATTCAAAATTAAGTCTATTGGAACCAATAAGACTCAAAAGCAAAGTAGCGCGTCGTATAAATTAAAAATATTACGCTGTAGTATCTTGTTAAAAAAAGTACTAGGTATACACGTTAATTTCTTACACATGTGCGTTTATAAATCATAAATACTGCAAAGCATCTCTAAACATATGAAAATAATTACATCGTCATGTTGATTGCTAAATTTTCTGTCGTTAAAAAATTATGCTTCTTACAATCTTCATTCTTGTGTGAAAAATTCTAATACTTAAAACTTCTAGCTCTGTTGCTCCATGAACGACAAGTTAATTCAAAATTAAGTCTATTGGAACCGATAAGACTCAAAAGCGAAGTGTGTCGTGTGAATTAAAAATATCACGCTGTAGTATCTTTTTAAAAAAAAAAGTACTAGGTATACACGTTAATTTCTTATACTTTATACATGCGCGTTTATAAATAATAGATACTGTAACGCATCTCTAAGCATATTAAAATAACTACATCGTCATGTTGATTACTAAATTTTCTGACGTTTAAAAGTTTTGTGAAATAGCATTTTTTCTGTCGCAAGTCTGTACCCAAGTTCGAGCTAAATATAGCTATGTGCGCGATAACACTAAATGCCGCCTTTATATTATGCTTTCCTACTGAAACGCGTGTGGTCTGAATGCGAATCGGCAAAAGGAATAGCGGTCAGTTATAGGCGTCCCGTATATCCGTATCTTGAAAGTGGAACAACCAATCTCATTTTGCGAATCGGTTAGAGCGAGTCAAACGTTACGCAACACATGGAACAATTGCCTCTCGATTTCCGAGTCACGTAAAGACATCGGTTGTTCTAACATCAAAATATCGATATGTATATATACGAGACCTCCTCTATTTTCTCTCTTCTACCTTAGGAAATTTCCGTTCTCGTTTCTGTTTTTCCGTTTTCCGTTTCCGTTTCCGTTTCGTTAAGTTCTCGGCGCTCCCGGGCAGCCGGTGCGCGCCTTTGTAATACGTCCCTTTGTGTGTGTCGACAGCTCTGGAATCGACAATAATCCGACGGTCTTTTACCACTTAATGCCCGGTTCCACGGCGCAGACGAACAAGTTTCATACGTTTTACCTTCAGCAACGCGGCGAGCAGTCGACAACTTGGGCCGATATTAAAGTTAATCATCCCCTGGACTATGAGAGCATAAAAGAATACAATCTCACCATACGAGTGGAGGTATGACTCGTCTTTTATACGCACGCATTTCCGAGTGAAAGAGGCCTTCGCCGGATTGAAACATCTTTTAGAGAAATGTAAAGATGTCTCACTTTAACGTGCTGAATAATATAATCGTGTGTTGCAGCTAATGATTGAGGATAACAAAATTTTTAGCGCGATAATATTCTACCGTATCGACGATAAAATCCCAACTTTTGCGCATTTAAGGTAGTCATTTCGTAAAATCATTTACGTGAGAATTGTTACAAATTTTTACAGTTTAGTCTTTACATTAATACGTGCAAAATAAGACTAATTAAATTAAAATTGACCGTCTCAAAGTTAAAAAAAGTTAAAGTTTGCTATGTTACACGAAATATTACGTGTAAAACACGTTAAAAATATTATTACGTGTGAAATATTATTTACACATGTTATTATGTGTTAGAATATTAATATTTGCGTTTGCAAACGCAAATGATGGCACATTTTTTTGAAGCTTAACGGCGAGTGAAATTTGTATGAGCAACAAATATGTTACAAAGAGTAAAATAGAACGAATAACTGGGAAAAAATTAAAATTATTAACCGTTCTGTTTCAAAAATATAAACAATTAAAACTAAAAAATGAGGAGAATTACGTAGTAAACATGAGTGTAGTAAAAGAAGTGGCAACAGCACCTCAACTATTATATAATCTTTCGAATCTATTTTACATTATGTATTAATCATAAGCGTATTCTTTAGAACAATAATGCATCAAGATGTATCATTGTAATAATTGAGTGCTGGAATAAACTTTTGAGCATTACTGTCGCGAAACAACTACCTTAATGTAACGTGCTGAATGTGAACAGAACAAAGTTAAAAGCTTTTGTAGAGAAACCAAGATTGATACAATCAAGTGATAAAATCGTTATCGCCGCATTGGGATCGTTGAGCGCGCGTAATTCGAGAGAAGCTCGAGGTAAATGTATCTAGATACAAATGCAATCGTAATTTCGCGCGGCAATAAAAACGAAGAGTCGGCATCAAGAGGTACACGATGCACAATCGTTTTGTAATCGCGGCGAACTTAATCCCACCAGAATAATGGAGCTCAACAGCTGGCTTCCGAAGCAACCGTGTACATCATGCTGGAGGATGTCAACGACGAGATACCGCTGTTCACCGAACGAGAACAGGAGACCGTACTCGAGGGTGAGCCGGTGGGCAGCAAAGTCACCCAAGTGAACGCCATCGACAAGGACGGAACATTCCCCAATAATCAGGTAAATTGATATCGCGCAATCAATTCCCAATTTTAATTTTGAAAATCTGACATAAGATTCGTAATGAGCGAGCCCGAAAACCCCTTTGTGCAAAGTTTTCAAGAGACAATCTTAAAAACCTTGGCCAATAATGAATTTTTCCGAAAAAAATGGCTGCTTTTTCATATTTGCTTACTTATAAAACTCTTACAATAAATATTAAAGACTACTTCTTTTTATGTTCTTTTATTGCTAAAGTACCTAAAAAATATAAATTTAAAAAAGCCGACCTAAATGCGTTAACTAGAAATTAAATGGCGAAAAAGTGAAGAAGTTGAGGTGGCAACGTGGGTTACCACCATGCTTCGAAGGGTAAGACATAAAAGTGTTTAAGATGGACAATACGTTAAATTATTATACAAGACGCGATCAGCGGGACTGATTGAAATGAATAGAGAAATTGGACTCGGTTATAACGAAAGATAGCCAGGAAAGGCGCATCGCGTTCGATACGGGCCCTCTCATTTCTTTACCGCGGAGATCCGATTCCGACTGGATCGATAGCAGGGGAATTGCGGCGAAGCCGCACAAAAGAACCGAGAGCGCGCTCGGAATCGCGCTATTGCGGGGGTACTTGAACGGGATTTAAGGGAGCTCAGTCGTCAAAGTCCTGATTGAGGAGAGACGAAGAGCAGTCGGGAATTGGGGAATAAGGGTGGTTCCGAGGCGCTTAGCCATAACTTAGACTGTCGCGTCAAAACTTTAATGTTTCACGTGGTAATGCATTGCCGCCGTGTTGGCGGAATGTTATAAACTACGTAACGGAGTAACGCAATTCCGACGGGCGCGTTTGAGTGGCGTTGAATTTATCACGTATGATCGCATTAACGGATATGCCAGCAGCGCGAATGTATACCGCGCCGACATTTAATCGCGTGATTATCATTCGTTTTACATTGAAACCGGGTTGCTACGCTACCGAACGCATTTTGTAATGCCGATACAACTACCGATTACGTGCTGAATATCGCGGAACAATGCCGCGGGTTTCTGCGGGAGACAAACCGATATTGTGTAAACGGTCTTCGTGTCTGAGCTTAAATCATTAAACTAATTTCGCCTTTCAATTTGAAAATGTAATAGTTTCTCGTGCTGCTGAAAGTCCTTTTAAATCGCCAGGAACTAATGAATACTTCCCGTTTTATTATCTCGTTACCGGCTTTTTCGTCGAGACATCAGTTTTTATCGATATTATTATTCATTACTTATTATCACATTTTTTCTTATAAATTATATAATTTTCAACTTTTACAAGAAACAATTCAATTTCTGTTACAAGATCAGAAAAGGATTTTAATTTTTGCTAAATTATACGAAATTACACCCTCAGAAAGGATTTCTGTTACTTAGACAAAAAATATTCTTGGCGCATTTCTATTTCTTACAACTTCATTTAGTACAAAAATCAAACAATATCAAAATAAAATCAATAATTCTTATCTCTATCGAATTAAAAAAGATCGACTTACTATATTCAGACAAGAGTAACTTATAAACATAAGTTTATGTATTCTTGCGTTTAGTATAAATTTTCCCCCCATCTTACAACGCACGAAGTTGGCACCGCAATATTCGACAAAAAAACGATACTATCGTTTTATTCTAGATTTTACAATTTTTCATTTAAGATTAAAATATTATTAATTAAATTCCTTTCTCTATAACAAATATGATTATCGCTGTATCGATCCTATTTTATAATAAATTGAAGTGTAATAGCATTGGTTCCGGAAATTTTTTCTGTGGGTGTATCTTTTTATAATTTTCGATCTTTAATTATATTTGCAAATTTTATCGTATGTTTATATATATATATATATATATATATCCCTTTAAGAGAGACGGAGAAATAGAAAGCACGCTATGCCATACCCTTTACCGGCGAACCCGTCTTTTCTTCGTTGAACAAAAATGAGGCCGTTCTTAGCCGAGCAGCTCCGCGAAAATGACGTGCGATGCAGCGGCTAAAAAAACCTTAGCTCGGCAATAAACGGAAGCGGAGCAACCGTGAAATATCACGGAATTTCCGGGTGGAAATTTGCCGATTAAGTAGCGCGAGATATGCGCGACTGTAAATTTCGCCGGTTACGAGGACGCGCGCGTCAAGTTCTTCCCGCACGAAGGATCTGTCAAATATGCACATTCTATTTGTACGTACCGTGCGCGGACGTAGGGTTTGCGGGACGGAAATGCGCACAACGGCCGGAGACAAAAGGGACACGACGAATGTGAATCCGACATGTAGTCGAGCGCAGTAATCGCGTTGCTGCAAACTCGATATCGTCTTTTCTCCGGTCTTTCTTGCACGCGCACCGTTATTGGCGCTCGTCTAGCAAAAAGAGAATTTTGCATTTTTTTCCCGCCGACGAATAAAACGACGGAAATTGCGAAATTTGTAAATGACGGAGAAGATAAAATTCGATCGTGTAAAATCTCCTCGCTCGTGTCAACAAAAGTAACTTGTAAGTGCGACAAGAGGAAACAAATTATCTATTTAAAGTCGGAAATTTGAATGCTAATATAACAAATAGGAAATGTTAGTCGCGAGACAGCAAAATGTAGAAGATTCACGGAAAAGCCACGCGAGCGTGACACGTCGTGCATTTTGGGATTTGCCGAATAGATTATGTAACAAGAACACTGTTAACGGCGACTTAATCAAGATTTTTCGTTTCGTCTGTTAATTAAGAAGTACAGGGTGCGTTGGAAGAAACCCATTCCATCATTACATAGAATTACACCGCCCCGTTCGGGTTACAGTAACATTGTTTGCCGTTTCATTAAGGTAAAATTGGAAGACCCAAAGTGCCGACGCGGCTCGCAACTTGTCCGAGTAAAGTCTTACCGTGCGAAATTCATTCGGATTTTCTCTCACGATAACCATCTCAAAGTTTCACGCTCTCGACGCCATTATACACCCCCGGACGAGGGCATTTTTATGCGTTTCGCGTACTTTGTACACACACGTATTTTTAAATGACTGACAACAGAGCATCGCGTGCGCCACACGCCTCTCTTTCTCTCGCTCTCTCTCTCACTCAACCATTAATAGATGTTATCAATTCTCTTCTAGCCTGTTTTATTTGTACGCGCAATTTATTTTTATTTCATTCAATATACACATATCTCGTTTACTCCACAACGAGATCTAATGCAAGTTTTACGTGTAACATCCATTATATAAATTTTTTAAATAAAAGGTTTACCACTCACCGATACGATGCGCAACGGCGGAGTTGTCTACGTCGTAAACTACGTGGACCTGTAAAATATATGATTATTAATTAAGAATAATTATTGCATTGAATATTTCATGTATTCATTAAATAGATATTTAATAAAATAATTATGAGCTGCTCGAAAAAATCTCCTTTAAATATAAACTCGCAAGATGTCGACGTATATTTTCGCGTGTAATTCAATTCATGTGTAATCAAATTCGAATCATTTGAATAAATACGACAGAGGGTAGATATTAATTTTATCGATGCTATTATTAATATTATGAATCTTACTTGATTAATTACGCGGGATGAAAACTAGCGTTCCTTCATTTCCATTAGTTATATTCATTAGATACGTCGGCGCGCAGTTCTATTTCGAACTTAGTCGCGATATGTGACTCGCGTGAAATAACGTTAGACTGTTTATTGAGACGATTATTAATTTTGCATGTTGCAAATAAGATGTATCTAAAGTAAAACGCTCACCTCGTGGTTGCTCCGTCGTTGCCCGATGCCCCCCATGCCGCCTCCTCCTCTCAGATTTCCTTGGTTGCACTCGCACACTATTCACTCGCGAGAATGATTAACTACGATCGCGCGTAATTTCACGTGACACTCCCGTACGCGACGTGAACTACCGCGAAACGCACAGAGTGTTATCCGTGTGTCGTATCACTTTCCGTCACGCGAGTCATTCAAACCGGCAACTCGCGTGTTACATCTTGACTCGAAAGCAGCAATGAATAAATCGCTTGTAAATTTACGATGTAAAATGCGAAGCGGGTGTCGGAATAGCGTCAGCGGTGAAGAAGCAGTTATTAATCCGCGACGAAACGACATTTTACAATCAGAATTTTCAAACAATCTAATCCTTGCGCGAAATGATTTCTGCGAGCGAAACACCCACTAAGATTAAGTCTATTAATTGTAACAATTAACTAAGATAATTCTTCATTACGTTTCGAGATATAACGTAGCGACTCGCTTTACCTCCTGCCTGTTTGAGCTGCGAAGTACAACAGAAGGAAACACAGCAAACAACACAAATACTAAAGCCGTACACCAATTTCTCTATCGTTTCCCGAAACTGAAAGGCAGATTACACGACAGATAATTCCAAGCGCGGCGCGTAAACGCCTCAGCAATTCCTTTCTCGTTATAAGTTGTAGGAACTTAATAATTAATCAATCAACGTTACTTGTTACCGATAAAGGTGTGCAAATTAATAGAGTTTTATTCGCGTGCTTATCGCGATCGCGTTTCGGAAATTGATAACGCAAAAGTAATACGACGCACGGGGAGCGACACTCGACGCTGCCTGCCGGCTCGAGGTTCGGCGAGCGAATGATAATGCGGCGACCTTCGGGTACGCAACGGCACGCAAAACCATCGTACGTCACCGCGCCGAGTGAAAAACAACAAAAAACCGTTGAGAATTCGTTGTCCCGCCTACGTAATGGAAAATCCGTACCAATAGCGCGGCGACCTTCACGTAACAATCACGTGCGTAGCGTCGCGCGGTATCGTGCGGGCATAAAAACAAAGGCGACCGTTGAGAATTCCCCGTCCCGCCTACGGAGTAGGAAATAAGGATACGTTAACGCGACATTCTTTGTTAGTTACTCGCGCATGCGAGGCACGTAGACGGAGTCAATAAACTTGACGTTATTTATCTAGGTCACATATTACGTGGTAAACAGCGACAGGAACGAGGGCAAGGATTACTTCGAGATCAACAGGGAAACCGGCGAGATCTTTACGAAAGTAATGTTCGATCGCGAGAAGCAGGGTGCTTACGCCCTGGAGGTGGAGGCCCGAGACGGAGCACCTTCCGCACGACCTAACAGCAACGGCCATCCTAACTCAGGTAGGTGGTGCGGAAAATTTTATTTAAAAGCCGCCCGCGCGCATTACACAGATCGTGTCGCCCGTACGCGCGCACTGTAAATCTCGCTAAGCAGCAAATCGCAGGAGCAATGTAATTGTATTCGGGCTTATGAGCGATTAAGAGCGTGCCGATTATACGGAGTTACCTGCAGCGGGGGAAAAACTAGCTGGAAATTTTTAACAAGTTTAAAAAAAATAACTTATTCGACGGATATTATGTGGAGAGCCTATTGTGAAACTTTTACGACAAGCGTACTTTTATGCCATTCTGTTCGGTTAGAAAAGTACGTGGAAAGTATTCGCGGGTTTTTCAGAAATGCAAGAAAGGATTAATTCTCGAGGGAAGATAGTAATGCTCGCTTCTGAATAGATTCTGTAAAGCCCGGCTTCACCAAACGTCGCTTAATCTGAGTTTCATTCATGTTTGTCTCTGTCGAAAGTGACAGTTGAAACGAAACAAAGAACAAATTAAGCCAGGCTTAAAGTTAGGCATCGTCAGCGAAACCGGGCCTGAGATATACATACATGACTTCGCACTAAAATCATTGAAACTAAATTTAAGATATTCTACCGCCAGCAAATATTTAAGTAATTAACAACGAATAAGTTTAGTCGACCTTAACTGGCACGTGTTGAATAAAATACAATAAAAAGATGTACAGTGCGACGTTTCGACCAAGGGTTTAGGTCCTTCTCAGGCGCATTCTTAAAATTAATCAGGCCAAGTAATATGCAGCTAAGAGATAAAAATCCAAAGGAGTTGAGTCATGATTATAAAATTAACAGGCACAAAGATGAAATATGTACGTTGTCTACAAAGGCCGGAGAATGACTCAAGTACATATTTTATCTTTGTGCCTGTTAATTTTGTAATCATGATTCAACTCCGTTGGATTTTTATTGTTTAACTGCTTACTATAATACATTGGCCTGATTAATTTTAAGAATGTACTTGAGAAGGACCTAAACCCTTGGTCGAAACGTCGCACTGTATATCTGTGTATTTTATTTTATTAAACACGCGCCAGTTAAAGTCGACTAAACTTATTCATTGTTATTTATTACTGGCAACCTAAAGAGATTATCATGTTTGAAATAATTAAAGTGAATAATCCGACACCGCTGGCAACAGGAAAACTTCCTTTATTAGCACACACAAAAATTAGTCTATAGACTCATCAATTGTTCTCCATCCACGGAAATCTTGAGTCCAATTTACGCATATCCAAAGAACCCAATCTTTCGCCTTTAGCCAAAGATTTCCGTAGAGGGGAACAATTGGTGAGTCTGTAGAGTAATTTTTTGTGTGTGCTAATAAAGGAAACTTTTCTGTTGCCAGTGTCGGATTATTCATTTTAATTATATTAAAATCATCGAGATATGGAAGAGGCAACACGAAATACATATTCTGTTCTGTTCAAGTATTTTATAAAGTTGAGTAAATAGCAGCGAAAGAGCAGTATTTATATTCACGTGGGATATTGTGCAGACCGGAGAGAATCACCGTGTAAAATTCAAATAGAATGCTCGTTTATCGCTCTCGCTATTGGGCCAGCATGATCCAACAGTGAGAAAAATAGTCACGTAGTCTGAAAATTTGCCAATTTGATGAATTCATTCGAAAAAACCGTTTCAAAAATATAAAATACATTAATTGCGTGTATTTATATATTTTTTCCGCCTTATAGGTGTATTTCTCTCTTATAAAAAAAAAGTTTCTCGAGATTGCATACCTTTCATCATATGTTCCATAATGTTGTTTGAGAAGAAATAAAAGTACGAGCTTTTAAATCTACTTTTCTCAATATCACGTTTCTTCTTTAAGTGCAGCCTCTATTTTTGCGTATTGACACACCCGCGAAATTTCATATCTATTCTATAAACGATTTATCACATTTTATATTAAATAAATGTTTCGCAAACGTTTGAAGCTAACATCGAACACAAATTGACGACGAATCTTCACTAACAGAGACACGTTGCATCAAATCATTTTACTCTAAGTTTACACGATATGCTTCAAAAGTTTACACGCCAAAAATAGACGATGCGGATACAACAGCTTTAGATAAAAGGATTATTGATTCGCAGTGATAAGTGAATTACCAGCGAATTTAATATCATTTGAGAAAGCGAGTATGTCGTCCTCGGGGGAAATTCGCGAGAGCGCTTTCGACCGGCGAAGCTTCTTAAGATTTTTTTTCACACAACACGTGATTTGCATTATCGAACTTTTATGGTGTGAACTTTCGTGCATTAACGTGATTACCACCGTCGTCTCTCGTCTTCCGAGTGAGCCTGCATCTTGCATTAGTTGATTACACGCTCGTACACTTACTTGCGACTTGCGGGAAACGAAAATGATTACACGTGATTTTGAACGGATTTTTATAAGCTTCTGTGTAAAAAGGAAAAAGTTATATCGCGGTATTTCGTGCAACAGTCAGTACTCGTCAGTGTAAAGTAGAGCCGGCAGGTTTTAGCAAATTTTTGCATATAATACCGAGTGTAAAATTTCTTTCAAATAACGCAACATGCAACAGGACAAAAATGACATGATAATTATATCGTCATAATCATAATCGCTAATCGATGTGACTACGACGATGTAACATACTATATAATAGACATTAATGCCGCAATACCGCAATTAAATTTCTGTATGTCTGTTGAATATTAATTAGTGACATAAAAAAAATGATCAAGGCCACTGAAGAGTTTTTGACACTAATTGCGAATCGCTTTGAGTCAATTCGCGCGGTTACCACAGTATTGTAAAATTAACGATGGGTATGTAACACGGTTGCTAGTTTAATTACGTCAAGCGTTAATCTTCAACCACTATTTGTAACTTGTTGCAAAACCGTGATGTTAATTTGCCTATACGCTTGATACTAGGCAACTGGGGAATTGAAAGTTTTTACGTAAAAGTTTCGTATGAGAAATTTGTCCGCCTCTGTTGTTGAATCTAATTATGCCACATCCAATAAGTGGTTCATTTTTTCTATATTTAGTTGAATGAGGACTTCACTAAATTCCCTTTTCTCCCCTAAATGAGGAATGGAAATTTTATATGTTAGAAACATTAGACTAAATGTGAGACTAAACCACGTTACCGATTAGAAATTTATCGATGTTGTATTTTGCAATATCTCTCCCTCAGGTGTTCAAAGATTCATAAAGAAATAGTCAGCTTTTTTAATGCCTCGATAGATTTTTTCTATGAAATGGATACATTTCGTCACCAGAGTGGCGCGTTGAGCTTTTCATGAAATTTTAAGCACCGAAGCCACGGTATATCGCTCGGTATTGACGTACAGTTACAGTCCTTTCTCGCTATCGATCTGTATGGAATATATGTGATTCGCCGAAGACGGTACTTTGGTTGATTAAAAAGTAGACTTAAGAGCCTCGAGCAGGGAATTAGTTCTTAATGTCTTCACTGTTACGCATCAAATTGCATTATAATGTCGCATTATAATGCACGCACCGTATAGTGCGCGCGTTATCGTTAAATAAGATTGATACGCGGTCGATACGCGTCCCTTTCCCGCTATTAGTCGCCGAGAAAATTGAACGTTGAAGAAGATATACGACGGTCTGAAAGCCGCGCGAGATTAGATATTTCTTGCGCAGGGACCTCTGTGAGAATTTTTACAGCTACGCCAAGACGATGTAATTCCTTATTTTACAGACTTCGGCTCGGGTTCCCAAATTATCGAGAGACAAGTCACTGCGTCCTTTTATATCTCTTTTGAAAGCTTAACTCGCCGAGAACAGGCTTTATCTCCATCCTGAATATCTTCTTCAGGCCTGGGGCTATATTTTCAGTAAAAGCCATGTAGACATTGTTTTAATATCCAATTAACGCATAAAGCTCCAGAGTAATATATGACGTAAATATCAATAATCGAGCAACAAAATTTTAATGAAGTGCTTACAAGGCATTAAATCTTTATTACCACTAAGCACAATTTTGTGACGTCAAGTACTTCTTTCCGATTGAGCACGACAATATTTAAATGTTACTTATTCGTATATTTTTATCAACTATATTTAAATAGCAACATTTTTATAAATGGTTGTTTA